ATACTACACAGTACATATGTGTACAAGACCTGCTTGAACAGTGGTTCCCAGCCTTTTTTCAGTTGCATAATCTGCCATGCCCCCACCATATTTTCAGAAAAAGGTATTTTTAATAGGGTAAAGTTACCCCTTCTCAGAAAGTAGAGGTCCCCCCCCCAAGGGAAGTGTTTTTCCTACATACACATACATGGTAACTTTAATATCCCAGTCAGAAAGATCAAGGAAGAAATTATCTAAGGGTTACAACATATATGACCCACAGCACCTGAAAACACGTTGTGAACGGGTGGTGGTGGTGGTGGTGGTGTTACAACCCACAGGTTGGGAAACACTGCTAAAGGAATCTGTCGTTTCCAAAATGGCATAAAGGGCAACAACTATTCTCAGCTTGTGGGTTTCAGAGATACTATGCCATGGTTACATCATCATAGTATCCAAACAACTTTTTATTACAGTGCAAGAGCCAGTGAGGTACAGCTAACTTAACACTGGCGAAATGGCGAAGCTTTTCAGTATGTCACACAGTTACAGCATGTTGACACTACTTTAACTTCCATGGCTTCATCCTGCAGAATCCTGGGATTCATAGTTAACATTCTTTGTTAGAGAGCTCAACTCCCCTGAATTGCAGAAAACAATTCTAAGGACCTCACCAAACCATACATGTCAGGATTTCATAAGATGGAGCCATGGCAGTTGAAGCATTATTAAAATGTGATAGATGATATAGTTCAGAGGCATTTCCACGTTCAAATCCTTGCTGAATGATAAATGTCATTGGCCCAGTCACTCTCCTTCTCAGTCTAACTGGCCTCACCATTGCAAACATAAAATTTGGAGAAGTGAAGATAAACAAAAATAGAGGAATATCTTGCACACTGGTGTGATCTCCATGCTAGTAATAAATAGTATGGTATACTACAATACAAAACAGTTAGTTACAGTCCAAAGCCATAGACATAAGCAGAGTAATTGGAAGTGATTTGGTTTAACTGCTGGCAGATTAACTGCTTTGATTTAACTTCAAAAGGAGAGTTCATGTAATTTCATTTGACATAAGTCAGTTGACAAGATTAAGCCATATGACTCAATAGCACTTTAATACATTTAGTAATGGTATTTAGTAACATTCCATACATGAGTGATTTTTGCTGAAGAGCAGTGGTTCTCTACTGTTCTGATAACTGTCTATAGAAAACACTTGCTTTACTTCCTTAGTGGCTGCTGCTTCAGAACACTAAGGTCAGTGTTCCATACTGATGTCTACAGAAGTCCAGCTGCAGAATCTGTCACTGCAATCTAATAAGTTGTCACTCAAGCGCCTGGTCACATGTGAGTGGACCCACATCCACTTCCACAGCTAGAATTTTGTGCACACTTAGAGAAAGGACACTGGCTATGAGACTTTCATACATCATCATAGGCATCCTTCAGTCTCGAGAGACTATGGTAACGTGAAGAATAACTATTTGTAAAACTCGCCAAGCAATGTAATAATTTGGAATTAATTTGGCTTTGATTGGCAAGTTACTACCTGGTGAGTTAACCATAAGTTATCCCAGCTTTAGGATGAAGATGGCCGAGTCGCTGAGTGGCCTTTCTTATCAACAGGAAACTCGATTTCCAAACAGGCAATATGGCAGGGAGGGAGGGCAGGGTTTCATTCAGGGACGACCTTCTATCCTGGAGGCTCAGTGGAAAATTCCAACCAAATAGCACCAGGCATGAGACATTTAAAAACACCCACCCCCACACTAGTTGAAAACAGCTCTCAGCTCACCTTAAGCAACAGGCCTGGTGGATCTCTGCCATGAGCACTTTCAATCATAATTTTTCTATCCTGTGCCTGAGGAAGTGAATTTTATTTGTGAAAGCTTGCACTGAATGTTTGATTTTTAGTGGTCTAAACCAGTGGTTCTTAACCTTTGTTACTCAGATGTTTTTGAACTGCAACTCCCAGAAACCCCAGCCAGCACAGTTGGTAGTGAAGGCTTCTGGGAGTTGCAGTCCAAAACTCCTGAGTAACCCAAGGTTAAGAACCAGTGGTCTAAACAAAGGTATCACCTCTTGTACATTTGGATTGTGTAAAGGACGACACAGCTATCTCTGTTGTTTTTAATGGAAAGAAGACTTGCAGATCTAAACAAAGGAGCAACTGGAACTTGGGTTCCATGAAGCTAGCAATCTTAAACAGATATGTTATTGAAATATTAATATAAAAATAAAGGAACACCCAAGCTTGGACTTTATATTAATATTGTGTGGTACAGCTTGCACTACTCTTTGAACAAAAATCTAAACTGCACAGTTATGACTCATGTTTCTTTGTAACATTCAAATGGTTTCGAGTTCTAAATAAAAAGTTCCATTTCTACATGTTTCACTTAGGGAACTACAGCTAACATACTATTGACATCACTGCGCAGCCTTATTCCAATCATATTTACTCAGTAGCAAGTGGCACTCAATGAAGCTTAATTCCCAAGATAATGTGTCCATTATCTGCATGGTTATACAAAAGAACCTGAAGTTCAACAAGAAAGCTACCAAAAATATACATACATACATGGGACTAACTTGCACCCTTAATGCTACAACACTCTGTTCACTTACAAGGAAGTCAGTCATGTACTGTACTGGTGATGCTTTAAAAACTAAACTCTAGGATAAATCCAAATAGCTGCTTTAACAAATCACAGGCCCTGCATCTCTGGTACAAGGAAACAATGAGTCATCCTATAGGCATACATACATTAGTTTTTCATCCTAAACTGAACATTTATACTGGAATATCAGAAACCAATACTTCCTTGCCTCCTCCTCCTGAGAAGAAATAAAGTCCCATGATTACATACACAATGAATACCATGTGGGAAAGGAGGGGGGGAACTCCCTATATGGAACATGAGCTGTGATCCAATACACCCTCAAGAATCAACTCTGCCACTGGGTGGGAATAACATCCAAGTAAACACACAATTAAACTGCTCACTCCTTCCTGATAAAAGCCCCCAAGTGATAACCTATCCAAGTCACTTGACTATTGGCAGTTGCTAGCATCAGATACTGTCTGAAATGCTCGCTGTAATATAAACAAAGCAAAGCAAGGATGTGGCCCAGTGGCAAAAGCAAATTCAGAACTGTGTTTTAGCACCCTTTACTAATTAGTTATGTGCTGTCAAGGCAGAACTGACTTAGAGTAACCCTAATAGAGCATTAAGGTAAGTGAGATATTTAAGGCACTGTTTTACCAGTTACACATCACCAGAGAGCCTCCAAGGCTGAATGGGATTTGAACCCTAGTCTCTCCAGAGTACTAGTCCCTCATTCTATCCACTAAACCACACTGGGTACCCATGCCTTTTATCAGGAACCCTAAAAGGTTGTGAAATCAGTGTGAGCCTCTAGGTTCTTCCAGAAATCTTCATCATAAGGTAGGGCAGGCCAAAAATTAGGAATGGGGCAAGAGATAAAAAGTTCTGAAAGCTGGCCTAGCCTGTTGGCCGCGGAATGTCTCTTTTTCTAGCGGAGAGAAAGGCAGCAGTGCTGAGGAGGAGAGCAGAGGAGGAGAGGAGAGGAGGAGGGAAGGTTCCCCTTTCGCAGCCGGCTGGCAGGCCGAGGGCCGCGCCCCTCCTTCGACCCCTGCCCGGCTACCCCGGGAGGGCCGAGAGGCGACGAGAGGCAGGAAGGCGCTCAGGTGCCGCCGCCGCCGCCTCCCAGCTCTTACGGTCCCGACTTCACTTCAGGGAGAGCCACAGAGAAACAGGCCAGGCTACAGTATTACCTTTAAAGTGACACCGGAGATTTCTCAAAACCAACCAACCAACCACCAAACCCGAAGCCAAA